TGACTATTTCTTTAGCTGTGCAGAAGAGAACTGCCCTACGACCCAGCAATTGCACTGCTGGGGATTTACCCCAAAGATACAGATGCAGTGAAACGCCGGGACACCTGCACCCCAATGTTTATAGCAGCAATGTCCACAATAGCCAAACTGTGGAAGGAGCCTTGGTGTCCATCGAAAGATGAATGGATAAAGAAGATGTGGTGTATGTATACAATGGAATATTACTCAGCCATTAGGAACGACAAATACCCACCATTTGCTTTGACGTGGATGGAACTGGAGGGTATTATGCTGAGTGAAATGAGTCAATCGGAGAAGGACAAACATTATATGGTCTCATTCATTTGGGGAATATAAGAAATAGTGAAAGGGAATAAAGGGAAAAGGAGAGAAAATGAGTGGGAAATATCAGAGAGGGAGACAGAACATGAGAGACTCCTAACTCTGGGAAGTGAACAAGGGGTAGTGGAAGGGGAGGTGGGCGGGGAGACGGGGTGACAGGGTGACAGGCACTGAGGGGGCACTTGACAGGATGAGCACTGGGTGTTATGCTATATGTTGGCAAATCAAACTCCAATAAAAAAATATACCAAAAAAAAAAAAAAAAAAAAAAGAAGAGACACCAAAGCTTGTGCTCACATGCTCTCTGTCTCTGCCATGTGAAGACACAGTGAAAAGGCAGCTATCTGCAAGCTAGGAAGGAAGCTCTCACCCGGTACCAATTTGGCTGGCACCCCAATCTTACACTTCCCAGCCTCCAGAACTGTGAGAAAATTTCTGTTGTTTATGTCACCCAGTTTATAATATTTATTATGGTAGCCCAAATTAAGGTAGCCCTCATTTTAAAAACAATTCTTTTTGTATTGACCTCTTTTATATCTTAAAATGGAATGTATTAAAAATGTAACTTACATATACACTTTCAAAAAAAATCAATGAATTGTCTTAATTGTAGTATAAACAAGAATTAATGGAACATGACCTAACATATGCATTTCAATTCATAAGTGCTCAAATATGACAACTCTTGAAAACATAAAGTATGCTCACACTCCCTTATATAAATAAGTTTGGAGTTTTAAAATGTAAGAAGATCATCAGCCACTCTATACAAGAAAACCAAGAAAATAAATGAGCTGCTGTATACTTCATCACAGTGTAATACTACACCATACATTTTTAACAAAACAAAGTATAATCATTTATAATACACTTGTATTTCTATAATATATGATGTATCTCAAAACAATGTAAAGGTACCTTGTGTTTATGTAGAATTAGAATGGTTCTAATGATTATGAACATATTTTTCACCTCCATTATGGTTAGCAAGACAGCTGAAAGCCATGTGGGACTTAAGAATTCCTCATTGTTTGGAACTGTCCCACTACTGTAGAATATCCAGCAGACCTGATCGTTAAATATCAAGAGTACCTCTTCTAAATGACTATTATAATGGTACCTGTTACTGTCTAAAATGCCTCTGTGAGAGTCCAGGCCTGTCTCCACCGAGAACCCATATACTAAATGAATGCCTATTATACCGCCATATGGAACCATGTACATGGGAGAGAAGAAGCCAATGACTCGGGGGCAGTAATGGTACAACAGAAAAGAAATGAAGCGAAAAGAATACAAGAATTTATGAGAACAGCTGGTTATAATGCACCTAGGGCAAAGAGAGTTGAGTTTGGCCAAAAGAATAGATAATGAGTAACGCCTGGGTGGCTCAGTGGTTTAGTGCCTCCCTTCGGCCTAGGGCATGATCCTGGAGACCCGGGACTGAGTCCCACCATGTTGGGCTCTCTGCATGGAGCCTGCTTCTCCCTCTGCCTGTGATCTCTCCCTCTCTCTCATGAATAAATAAACAAAATCTTTTAAAAATAAAGGATAATGACTGAACAACTACAAATTTTAAAAAGGGAAGAAGCAGATACAATATATAAGAAGTAGGAAAAATAGAAAAGGATGTTAAAAAGCCATTATCCCTTAGTACCTACTCTCTACTCAAATAAGACTGGTAGTTTCTCTTTTCTCTTAGGACACTGTATCTAGTCCAAATCCCAAGACTTTTTCACATTACTTTTCTTCTCTTGCTTATATAAAATATATTTCTCAACAGAATTCAGGCAAAAGTTCCACTTTTCCAGAATTCTTTTTGCAGTCACTCTCGCCTTTGAGCTTTTTCCTTATAGAAATCCTAGTGTTCTACTGCCTGAATATTCATTAACTAGCTACTATGTGCCTATAAGAAGATCCTTTATTCTTTCCATACAGAAGATAGCAGTGTTCAAGGCTATATATGCATTTCTATGAAAATCTACCCCTTGAATAAAAAAATAATCCTGTGAGTTTACTTACCACCTACTTCCTTACAAGGTTAGAATGAATAATCAACTTCTAACCTAACCCTAAAAGAATCAAGAGATGAGAGTGGGAGAGAATAAAAGATGGGTGGAAGCTCAGTTCTTTTAAAGAATTCCTTTGGAAAGGAGGATTATAAATATATATGCCTATCTTTAAATGGACCAGCCAACACAGAGCTGGATTCTATTCACTTTAGGTTAAAGATTAGTGTCCTATAAACTTTATACCTGTCTCTCCATTCTATATTCTTATATATTTGGTTTACTTGTTTTCTCTTAATAATCCACTCACATGGGACACCTTAGTGAAGCAGTTGGTTAAGTGTCTAACTCTTGGTTTGGGCTCACAACCTGGGCATCATGCTCAGTGCAGAGTCTGCTTGAGATTCCTTCTCCCTCTTCCTCTGCCCCTTCCTCTTATTCTCTCTTTTTCTAAATAAATCTTTAAAAAAATCCACTCACACAATACACATATATTAGGAACCCACACCATATATCAGATAATATGGCAGGTACTAGCAATTATCAATTAAGCAAGATCAACAAGGTCCCTATCATTCTGGAACTTAGATTAGTAAAACAAGCAGGTTTTATTTTATTTTTCTTAAGATTTTAATTTTTTATAAATATTTTATTTATTTGAGATAGAGAACATAAGCACGAGTGGAGGGAGGGACAGAGGGAGAAACAGGCTCTCCACTGAGTAAGAAGCCAGATGACAGGCTTGGATACCAGGACCCTGGAATCATGACCTGAGCTGAAGACAGACACTTAACCGACTGAGCCACCCAGGTATCCCTTAAATTTATTTTAGATAGAGTGTGAGCAAGTAGGTGGAGGAGCAGAGGCGAAAGGAGAATCTGAGGCAGACTCCCCACTCAAGACCACCAGACCATGACCTGAGCAGAAACCAAGAGTGAGATGCTTAACTGACTGAGCCACCCAAGTGTCACCTCCTTTTTTTTTTAAGATTTTATAAACGAGAAGATTTTTTTAAAAGATGAAAATAAATATATGATTATAAATTGTAAAGCATAACTTGACAGAAACATACAAAGACAGGCTTATCCCTTAGGTAGACCAACTAGTGTGGCTTCCCTGACAGACAAGGGCTATCATGCTTTTTGATCTATGTGTGTGCATACCCACATATATATTACACACATCAGTGTGCTTGTATGTATGTGTGTGTATTTGAAAACATTCCACATAATAGGATAGGTCTGCCCCAGGTGAATTATGCCAAGTAGCATAATGAGGCCCTAAATGAGGGCACAACCAAATACAAACACTATATGAGGGACAGTTCCACCAATTCAAATGCTATATTCATAGGCCATACTAGTGGTTCTCAAATGCCAATCCTTGGGTAGATGGCAAGAGAGCTGCATCAGAATCACCTGGAAACTTATTAAAAATTTAAAAATAAAAATAAATAATAAATAAATAAATAAATAAATAAGAATTTCCAGTCCCCATTTTCTTTTTTTTTTTTTTTTAACAATTTCAATTTAGTACCTGGAATGCATTTTTATAAAGTTCCCCCTAGATGATTCTGACACTGTTAGATTTGCACCCTTAGTCATATAGAGCCTTGATTCATTACATAACTGTTCCATATTTCTTTTATCATGCTCAAAGCATGGCAAAGTACTCAAACTATGCTGTTTAGTGCCAGTAAATGCAAAATAAATTGTTTTCAATTAAATAAGCAAAGGTATTAAAAGTAAAACTATGTTTTTTTGTGTGTTTTTTTTTTCTCAAATATAGTGACACTCCTTATCAAAATTTCACTTAGGAACAGAAAAGACGACCTCTGAGGTGATGCTTCTTAAAATGGAGGACACAAACTACTAGTGTATGGCAGATAATTTAATATGGTACCCAAACTAATTTTAGATGATACACAGGATTATTTTACATGGCACATGGACATATGCTAAATAACACTGAGTTACAAAGGAAAAGATGTATTATCTTTTCAATTTTCTTTCAGTCAGAAATCCTCAGTAAGCTATTGGTATGTCTCCTACACTTCTCTATCACTCCTTATCTCATTTTAAGAAATAGAGAACATGCCTCAGAGCCTTTGGAAAACAACCATTACCTAGTCAGAACTTAGTAACACTGTTCTCTTTTCACTGTATCCTTTAGGGCTATCATCCATCTAAGGCATGGGATACTGATATTTCATTTATAGTAGTGAGAAAAAAGGTGAATTTAAAGAAAATAGCATAAACTGCATACAGATTTTGTAAAAAAATTGTGAGGATGCTCTAAGAATGAAGTTTAGAAACAGTACTGTACAAAGTATTACTAAAATTAACAATCAATGCCTTTGTCTATGTCTCTCTCTCTCACATACACACATAAACATACACAAACACATTCAGTAAGTAATTGATGTAGATAATCAAAAGCCACAAATAATTATAGGAAGACATTCAATGAAAAGTCTATTCTACCACTTGACAATGTTGCCAAAATAATGATATTCCATGATGTGACAATTATTGTTTGTACATTTTCTTGACTAAATGATTATGATAATCTCTTACCATACATGTAAGAAACATACATATGCTTTTATGTAAGAGCCAAGACAATTAACATTCCACAATTTATACTACATACCTTATAATCCTTGGGTCGGTAGCAGCCAAGATGAGAATGCTCTGTAAAAGGATGTACAAAAGAATTAAATTATACATATTTAGTATCAAAAAGAAGATTCGGTTTTATCTTTGGTTTTGGCTACTATCATTCTGTTTCTATGATTATAATTTCACACAGCAGTTTTCAGAAAGATCTAAAAAATCTCTCAACAATGCCACATAAGTAAAGATGATATGCAACAAGTTAAAACTATATCTGTTCTTCAGCAATTAGGTGATTTCACAAATACTATTTTCATTAGAGTTGGAGATATCAGACTATAGACTGGAGATATCAGAATATATACAATCAACAATTGGTTGTTGCCAAACCAATTCACCTATATGAAATGGATAATCTTAAATTGATAAACCAGTTTATGAAGAAATATAATTTGAATATATAGATTTGATAGATATTGCCAAACTGCATATATTCCTATTCTTGGAGTCCACGCTAGGGTCAAGTGAGTATAACGGAAACAAAACCAGCTTTAGAGTGTGGTGACATAGGGGTACAGACCTTTTTGACAAATAGATTTGTATTACAGTCCAATCCCTAGCACCTCCTGTATAACCTTGGGCTCATTATTTAACCTTTCTCAGATTCCTCATCTGTCTCATGTACCTCTTTCATAAGTTCTTTTAAATATTATATGAAATATTACATGTGAGGCAATAAAATAAATGTTAGCTACTATTACTAACATCATCATCAACATTGCTGCTCCCAAGTTCTAAGTCAAACAAGCCTAGGTGCAATTTCCGATTCCACCACTTATTAAATGTATTACTTTGGTCAAGTTATACAACTAATCTGTGTTTCATTCCTTAAATTAAAAGTATGAAGACAATGCCTACTTTGCCTCAAAGTCATAGTAATTAAATTATACAATTTATGAAAAGTTCCTAGCATAGTATCTGTAACAAAGTTGATTATAAAACTATTCTAACTTTCTCCTGGGATAAGGACCACTATATTGCATATGCAGATTTGGGGTTTTACTCGTTAGTTAAAGGAGTCAATAAGTATTATAATCTCTGTATATTAACATTCAAGCAAATCAGAACCATGGTTTGCAATTCTACTTCCTTATACATTCTAGTCAAAGCATTCTAACATCCTATAGTTTATTTTCCCAAACCACCTTAATCAAAAAGAAAAATGACTGTATAGAGACATAGGATATTCTATATTCAATTAATTAATTTTCTTTTATAGCACAAGATTTTGTTTGTTGTTCAAAAGTCCTGAACCATTACAGAGAAAGCTGAAACATTAATGTTTTTCACACAAGGCCAACTTCACCATTTAATTCAGTAGACTCAACTTACTTCAAGTGCTTTTCAAAATTAAAAATAAAAATAAATCCCAGCTCAACTCCTCTTCTATAAAGTCTAATAATATATAGTATGGCCACAGTAGCAGAAATAAAAGAATGATAAGGAAATAATGAACCTAATTCTCCACACATGCTAACTTTGAAAATTAAAGTAATAATTTCTATACTTGGTATATATTCTTTCTGGCAGCTAATGTAATATTAAAAGTATCAGTATATTTAAACACCAGTATGTCTTCTGCTTTCCACAATCCATTTATAGACTTACTCTAACAGGGACAGATTTATAATTTTCTTTTATTTTTAGAAATCTAGCTGTTACTGAGGTTCCCCCAATGTTTGCACTTAATCACCCTTACCAATAATTACTCACTAACAATATTCTAAAAGCAGGAGATAAAGGAGATAAAAGTCATGGCCCATGCTCATTAAATGCTCATAATTTACTTTGATTAAGTTATGCAAAGTTGAATAACAGCAGCATAAAACAAGAGGCTAAGTCAGAATGGTATAGGCAATTAATGCTATTTTTAAAAGTCATATCAGAAATTAATCTCTCAAGGTTGAATCTCTCAAGAAAAAAACTTCCTAGAGGAGGAGGAGAAAGCTGACCTAGGCCTTAATGAATGGGTCACACTTAAAAGTATGAAGAAAAATTAGAGATAATTCAGATAGTGCTTGACTTTACTTCTTTAAACCTCAGGTTCCTTCACCTATAAAATGGAGATAAATAATAGTATCTAAAATTCTTGATTATTTTAAGTGACAATGAAATATTAGTACTTAGAATACAGGCCAGCAGAAACACATTCATAAATGTTAGCTATTACTTGGTTCTCTAATAACCTCATGAAATAGGTGTTATGGACCAAATATTTGTATCCTTTCAAAATTTGTATGTTGAAGCCCTGGCCCTCAACAGGCTCAATTATGACTCAGTCCTAAAGGACCAATCCTGACTTTAACCAAGAAGGACTTAAGGGGTTTTCATCTAAAGCTTAGCATCCCTGTAACAGCTCATTCTTTCTATTAAAGTAATTCTTGAGCCCCATTCTGATGATTATAGCCAATATGTGTTCCCTATCAGTCAATCCCTATTTTGGCAAACTTTATAGTACCCTACCTCAAAGGGTACTACCATTTTCTTTTTTTCATAATTTCAAGAAATTGAACCCCATTCTGGTAGTGAGTGCAAAGCATCCCTGCTGATAAATGTGTGTACCTATGAACCTTCAAAGAGCATGCCCCTGGACTCCTTTATCAGTATTTTTTTCTTTTTTAAATTTTATTATTTATTATTTATTTATTTATTTATTTATTATTATTTATTTATTTATTTATTTATTTATGATAGTCACAGAGAGAGAGAGAGAGAGAGAGAGAGAGAGAGAGACAGACAGGCAGAGGGAGAAGCAGGCTCCATGCACCGGGAGCCCGATGTGGGACTCGATCCCGGGTCTCCAGGATCGCGCCCTGGGCCAAAGGCAGGCGCCAAACCGCTGCGCCACCCAGGGATCCCCCTTTATCAGTATTTACCCTATTGTTATCCTAATATACACATAGCATTGTAAGGCTGGCCTCTGTTCTCCTGTGAATTTATGGGCCATTCAGCCATGTGTTTGCTATTTGCCAGTCCCTATAACTGGAAGCAAAGCTAAGATGTCCCGCTTTATAAAATAAAACCACAGTTGAGTATCTCTCAGGAGATCCTACCTTCTAAAAAGGAAAGACATATAACATGTGTTTTCTATCTCTTGCTCATTTGTGATACCTTCACCAGAAACTATTTACTCTGACTTCTGATGTTTTCTTCTTTCTTATTTCTATCACTGTCTGAAGTCTCAGCAGCAAAAGTCTCTGACTTTCCCCTCACTATTTTTTTATTGTCTGAAGTCTAGCAAATAGCACACTTATCAGTGACTGGAAGAGTGATGATCAAGAAAAATTATAAATTAATGTCTAATAAGTACATGAAAAAATATTCAATGCCATTACTCAGATGTAAATTAAAATAAAATTGCAGTGAGACAGGACTGCCTACTCACTAGAATGGTTAAAATAAAGGCAAGAACAAGGCACACCTGGGTGGCTCAGCGGTTAAGCATCTGCCTTCAGCTCAGGGCGTGATGCTGGAGACCCAGGATCGAGTCCCACATCAGGCTCCCTGCATGGAGCCTGCTTCTCCCTCTGCCTGTGTCTCTGACGTTCTCTCTCCCTCTCTGCCCCCCCCCGTCCCTGTATCTCTCATAAATAAATAAATAAAATCTTAAAAAATAATAATAATAAAGTGGCTTTACCATTAAAAAAAAATAAAGGCAACAACAAGTGCTGTCAAAGATGTGGAAAAACTAGACCATCATATACTGCTGGTGGAAATGTAAAATGGTACAGCCATGTTGGAAAACAGTGGCGATTTCTTAAAAAGTCAAACATAAATTTACCATATGAACTAGCAATTCACTCCTACCTATCTATTCATAAGAAATAAAAACATGTATCTATGCGAAGACTTCAATGCAAATGCTCAAAGTAACATCATTTATAATGGCCAAAAAGTGGAAATAATATAGGGGCTCAGGGTGGGAATACAGATTTACTGCAAATGAGTATGAGGAAACTCTTTCGGATGATAAAAATACTCTAAGAATGGATTGTGGTGATTTTACAACTGCGCAAATTTATTTAAAATCCTTCAGTTGTGTACGCAAAGCAGGTGAAATTTATGATATATAAATTATAGGTTACTAAAGTTCTTAAGAATGTTTAATAAATAATAAAGAAATGAAGAAACTAAAAGATGAATTCCTAAAAATGACATAGCTCTGCTGCTCATCATAGAGATGACTCTATGAGATGAGGAAACATACATTTAAATAAAAGCTGAAACAAATAAAATATTTTGCTAACAAATATATTTATGATGACTATGCTACTTTACTCAGAAGAGTTTAATGTTGCTATTTATTGCTCTCTACTCAAGTTATGACATAGGAGGATTTGGAACGTAATTTCCAACTTATTTTACTTTACAAACAACCACCAAACAAAGAGATTAGTGGAAGCTCATAAAAGAATCTTCAAGTGAAGGGAATAAGAGAAGTTTCCTGAAGAGGGAAACAGAATCTAACATCTTTTCATATTCTAAGGAAATAAAAAGGGGCCCAGATGATAACCTCAATTTTCTCCTCAAAAACACCAATGGTTGGCTAAAGCTTACAAACATTCTTGTAGCGGAAGACATGCTGGATCTCTTTAAAAGGACGACACATATTACAATTGGAATGATACACTATGGAAATTCCAGATAAAGAAATTGTGCTTGAAAATTTTATCTTAAAAAAATATACCTAAGTGGAAGTAGAGAAAGTAGGAGGAGGTTGGTGAGGGTAAGGAGGTTGGGCCAGGAAGTGTTGGACCCCAGACTGACCAGAGCTGTTCTGTAACTCTCCAACAAGACACTCAGCCTGTCCAGGCCTCTGTCATTTTTCTTGATCAAATATAGTTAAATTCATCCTCATGCAGTTATAATGACTAAAATAGTCAATAGTGATGAAATGGTATCCTATAAAAACTGAAGAATTTTTAGGCAAGATAATTTGGCAAGAAAAGTTTTAAGAATTTCCAATTAAGTAAAATAATCACTAATGAAAATTCACTATCATAAGAGATTCTTTTTTTTTTTTAGATTATTTATTTATTTATTCATGAGAAAGAGAGAGGTAGAGACACAGGCAGAGGGAGAAGCAGGCTCCATACAGGGAACCTGATGTGGGACTCGATCCTGGGTCTCCAGGATCACACCACCAGCTGAAGGCGGCGCTAAACCGCTGAGCCAACCGGGCTGTCCTCATAAGAGATTCTATAAGAAATTCCCATATGTATTTCAATAATTGATGAGACCCCAAAACACAACCATCCAATTGCTAGACAGGAAAAATAAAAGGTAGTTAAAAGAACAAGGACATTCAAAGTACAAAAATGAGATGGAAAAGCAAGTACTAAATGTACAAAGAATAATGGAATTTTAAAAAATTACTACTTGGAAAATAGTAATAAATTGTTTCAAGCAAGAATCATCAATGTGTGTATGCTAAAGGGGTCAAAGTGAAGGAGTAACGGGATATAATAGTCTCAAAGTATCTCCTTATTAATTACAAAGGGAAGAAATAGCATTTTTATGATGGAGAAGCCTAGCAGACCCCATCTTAATTAAGTGAGCAAATGAATATCACCAGTAACAAAGCAGTATCACATACTTCCTGACATGTTGCACTGAGAGTAAACATCACATTTGTTGTATTCTGGAGGGGAGAGGGGGTGGAAATGAATCATCTAAATTTAATCATGAGGGGAAAAAAAAAATCAAACAAACCCAAATTGAGGGACATTCTACCAAATAACTGGCCTGTATTCTTCAAAATTATTAATGTCAAACACAAAGAAAGTTTAAGGAACTGAGCATTCTAAGGAAAACTGAAGAGACACGGTAACTGAAGGCCATGCATTATGTGGAATTTCTTTTGCTAAAAAGATATTATGAGGACAAGCAGCAAAGTTAGAGTTAGGTCTATAGATTAGTTATTATTATTACATCATTGTCAATTTCCTGCTTTTCATAATTATATCACATAATATCTACATTAGTCTCTGGCTGCCATAAAAAAATATCATATAGACTGGGGGGCATATACACCAGACATTTATTTCTCACAGTTCTGGAGGCTGGAAGTCTGAAATCCAGGTGCCAGTGCAGGCAGGTTGTGGGGAGGGGTCTAGTTCTGGTTTGAAGATGGCTACCTTCTGCTTGTGTCCTCACAAGGCAGAGACAGAAAGCAAGATCTCTGGTTTCTCTTCCCTTAAGGGCACTGATCCTATCATGAGGGCCCCACCGTCTAATCTTATCTAAAATTACCTTCCAAAGGCCCCATTTCCAAATACTACCACATTTTATGTTAGAGCTTCAACATAAGGATTTTGGAGGGACACAATTCTGTCCAATAGCAACGTCCTTGTCAAAAAAAAAAAGTTTATACACAAACATACATACAGAGTTGGAGGTGGGGGAGGAGATAAAGAGGGAACAGCAAATAAACAGTTCTGCTCGTAAATATATAATAATCATCAAGAGAAATCAGACACTTGCGTTCATCCCAAAAACATCTTCCAAAGAAACATCTATATTGAAGTTATTTTCGATTTTCTTGTTCTTAAAGCTTATTTTCCATGTCCATAAATTTCTTCCAAGAGGGGAAACAGCGTATAACATCTGTTCCTAATTTCATATAATTTGCTATTGTGTTATAAAACACTTATTGATTACCACATCTATCTCCCTGCTAATGCTAAAAAAGCAAAATAAATGAGCACAAATTCTGCATGTTCTCAGAGAAGAATGTTTCATTTCCCCATTAAAAGAGAGAGACTCCAGATTACAGTTTAGAAACAAAAAGAGATGGAGCCCACTACATGTTATGATTGTATTTTTTTCACTCTCTCATTTTTCTTCTTCTATGCCTTTCCCAGTGTGTAGTGAATTAACTTAAAGGTTGCTGGGGAATACTTGCCAAACTAACCAATGACTATAGATATTAACACTCAAATATCCCTAAAGTCATACAATACTATTTAATCTTCATAAAAGTCATCTCCAGATTGAACTGAAAAAATAACTAATCATTAGAGCCAGGGAATATTATAAAAAAGAAAGATTTCTGTAAACTAAACTTAAAGGACACTATTTTTTCAGAAATGTAAGTATTAACTGCTGATATTAAGACCTATGTGCAAAAAAAAAAAAAAAGACCTATGTGCTACGGTATTTTACATGGTCATATTTACCATATCATCTTCATTCTGCAATATACTATCAAAGTAGTTAAAATGATTTAAGAATGCTCAACTTAGGGCAGCCCGAGTGGCTGAGCGCTTTAGTGCTGCCTTCAGCCCAGGGCGTGACCCTGGAGACCCAGGATCGAGTCCCACGTCGGGCTCCCTGCAAGGAGCCTGCTTCTCCCTCTGCCTGTGCCTCTGCCTCACTCTGTCTCTCTTCTGTGTCTCTCATGAATAAATAAATGAAATCTTAAAAAAAAAAAAAGAATGCTCAATTTATGAATAAGTGACAGAGAAAGTACTCAAATACATGTGTAAATGTATGTCCAAAACCTGTAACCTTAAACTCTTTTTATTATGGTGTTTCCCAAAGCCTATTCCACAAACTAAGGAGTATGGTTCCATAGTCAAATAAATTTAGAAATCATTGAGCAAAACAAAATCAAGTTGTTTTTTTTCTTCACGAGAAGGTATCAGTCTTTAATATGCTACTATGTATTTTGAATCTCAAAGAGGGAGATTAGTTTATGGCCACACAGAAATTTTATTATTTTTAGAGAGTACTTATATGGGCATCCCATGAGTCTTAAAAAGTAGCCCTATGCCTTATTTACCAATAATATAGCAAAGAATCTATTTTGGTTCATTAATGCCAAGTGAAAGCCTTGATTGTAGCCAAGGCAACTAAAGCAATGAAGAGAGACAACTTTTAACTTACCATTGTGCATCCTGGACCATCCATCTCTTTCACAGTCTCTGCCAGAAGATCCAAATAAAGCATCAGTCCTGGGACTTGGGGGGTCGACCTAGAAGATGAAGGATTTAAAGTCAAAGAACTTAAATTTTCTTTTTAGTCTCATGGTACCAGAAAATTAACTCAAGTACAAAGACTGTAGTCATCAGGTTGGCATGACAAGGCCTGTGTGGTTCAGGCACGTTCAGAAGCCAGAGCTTAGTTGAGTATTTTACTGTTCATGTTTAAACAAAATTGAAATTAAACTCCAGAAATTTTTAATTATAAATTTGAAATTTATAATTTCAAATTATAAATGTAGTTGAAATATCTGTTACCCTATTGCCCAGTTGGTTTTCCATTAAAAAAGCTACAAAAAGGGGAATCTATTTTGCTACATTTTAAAAAGCAAGTTTAGGATTTGCTACTTGAACAGATACTGAATTCTAACAGCATCTTCACTTGGCTATGTTCAGAGCCCAGCATGCCGAATGCTTTATAGCTCACAGATTATTATAGTCAAGCATGTTTTCTTTTTTTTTAAGCATGTTTTCTAATGAAAAAGAAAAAAAGTCAGTGATATAAACTGTAAAAAAAGATACCTCCATTGATCAAAATTAAACATTTTGTACATAAAAGGACACTATTAAGAAAGTGAAAAGCAAACCATTTAATAAAAATATATATTTGCAAATAATTATCTGACAAGGCACTGATATCCCAAATATATAAAGAAACTTCTACAACTCAGTAAAAAAAAACTCTCTCAAAAAGTGGGCAAAGAACTTAAGTACACATTTCTCCAACAGATATGCAAATGACAAATAAGCACAAAAATATTCAATATCACTAATCATTAGGGAAATATAATTCAAAATCACGGGGAGAGATACTACTTCATGATGTGAATGTGCTTAATGCCACTAAACTATAAATGGTTAAAATGGTAAATTTTATATTGTGTACATTTTACCACATTTTTTAAAAAATTAAGCTTTAGAATAAGGAGAGTGAAAAAAGAAGTCATACAATGAGAAAATATTAACAAATCATACCTGATAAAGATTTAGAATCCTAAATATAGAAAGAAAACTTACAAGTAAATATCAGACAAAAAAATCCAATTAAAAATAGACAAAGAACTTGAATGGACATTACTCCAAAGAAAATATACAAATGGCTAAAGGGCACATAAAACGATGCTCAACATCATTACTTATAAGGAAAATGTGAATTAAAACCATAATAGGAAAAAAAAAGCCATAATGAGAGACCACTCCACACCCCTTGGAGGTCTATAATAAAAAGAAAACAAAGCAAAATAGTATTGGCAAGAATGTAGATAAAGTAAAGCCCTCATACATTGCTGAAGAGAATGCAAAATGGTACAGCCTCTGTGGAAAACAGTTTGATAATTCCTCAAAAGTTAAACACAGACATACCCAGCAATTCCACTCTTAGGTATTAAAGCAGTTAGGCATTAAAACAGGTACTCAAATGGAAACTTGTGTTTGAATGTTCATAGCAGCACTAGTCACACACCAGAAGGTGAACACAGCTCAATGTCCATCAACAGATGAACAGATGAACAAACTGTGGTACATATCCATACCAGGGGCTGAAGAAAGGGAGAGATGCTGAATGAATGCTTAATGAATACAGGGTTTCAGGATGATGAAAAAGTTCTGGAACTAGACAGTTGTGACAGTTGCACAATACTGCCATTGAATTATATACTTTGAAATGGTTGAAGTGGTGCATTTTATGAGTATTTTACTGCAACAGAAAAAAAAGATCCTATTCTGTATGAACGAAAAAGAAAATAATTCTGTTTAACTTTTCTGGGATGATAGTGCCAGTTTGCTTGGGAGCATGTTGGTTGGTTTCTTGAAACTGCTCTTTACTACCTTAAGACTTTTTCACATGATGCATGTAAAACTAGAATGTCTTTCCTAAAAGTACTAACTTTTGGGACACCTGGGTGGCTCAATGGTTGAGCATCTGCCCTTGGCTGAGGTCATGATCCCGGGTTGGGGACTGAGTCCCAAGAAAGGCTCTCTGTGAGGAGGCCGCTTCTCTGTCTGCCTTTGTCTCTGCCTTTCTCTGTGCTCTCAAAAATAAACAAATAAAATCTTTTTAAAAAAATAAAAGTATTATTAACTTTTTACATATGCATATATAAAATTATTTTTCTTGAAAGAGAGCATGTGTGCCGCCAAGGGGGAGGGGCAGAGGGGGAGAGAGAATCTGAAAGAGACTCCATGTCCAGCATGAAGCCTGATGTAGGGCTCCATCTCACAACCTTGAGATCATGACCTGAGTTGAAATCAAGAGTTGGACACTTAACAGGTGCCTGTGAAATTAAAATTTTGTTTATCAAGTACTTTTGAAATTGTGAATGGCTACAGGGGAAGAAATGATATCTCTATGCAAATACAATTGGAAAAATTCAGTTTCCTATACAATAATATAAGCATATATAATATAACTGGAGGCTTAGACGTATGCATTTTTTCTGTTCATTGGAAAGCTGTAAAGGAAATCTCTTCAGTGAAAACATTAAGGTCTACACCCAGCAGTATTAGAATTAATTCCACTTTGAACACCTGTGTGAAAAACAGTAACTTAATGAGCATTTGAAGAGAAGTTATTTCCCTCCACAATTTTTTTTTTTGTGTGTGGCTAACTACCACGAACTATTACTGGTTATTCTGCACATAGGCATTTTAATTAAAATGCTACTATTCCTTCAGATTAGAATTTAATATATCCTTTCTTTTCAACTTAGTTTACAACTATGACCAGTTATAAATTGAAAGGTTTCTGAAACTGCCATCAAACATCAAACAGTAAATCTTATCTGGCTATTATTCCACCAACAAAAAAATGTGGCCAGTACCCATAAATAAATTCTATAGAAATAAAACAAATATAATCACAATAATCTCAATAAAACATTATCATTGAAAAGTACCTATTATAAGTTTTCTTTTTACAATAAAAAATTTTGTTACTTAAGGCTAAAGAATAAAGGATTCATAGTCAAAATATAAAAATGGAATGAAATGTTGCTTAAATGTAATTACATTTAAAATTAAAAAATATCACACAAAAAATCTGAATTTTCAGATGGTATATTTTCAAAAACCCATCAGTCTATCCAAGAAGTGGGACGCCTGGGTGGCTCAGTGGTTGAGCCACTGCCTTCGGCTCAGGTCATGATCCTGGGGTCCTGGGATCAAGTCCCGCATCAGGCTTCCCACAGGAAGTCTGCTTCTCCCTCTGCCTATGCCTCTCTCATGAATAAATAAATAAAATCTTAAAAAAAAAACTGAACTATCTAAGGAGCATCTTTACATGTTTACATTTATATTTACATATTAGAATTTAGAAAAAATGAATTAGACATTAAAGTCAGAAATAACTTTATAAAAAAAAGAAATAACTTTATAGATAACCTCAAAAGTTGTTTTACTTCTATAGGCACTTAAATATTAACACATATTATTATATGTATTTATAAGTAATTTTTTATTAATTTGCCAGCTTTTGTTAAAGAAATGCTTCTAAGATAAAAATTCTTTACAAAAATTTAAGAAACTATGAGCATTTCTAAGTCCTTTATTAAAAATCCTGAAATATTATAGACCTTTAAAATTAGCCAAAGTCTACCTATCACATGAACACAGTTCTAAGCTTAAACCATTTCAAAAGCAGTCTTCTGTTTGGGAATATTAGAACTACACTACCCTAAGTTAACTCTCTTCACTTTAAAGGCCTTCCCATCCCCATCAAATAATGATTTGCTTCAAAGATCCATTATATAAGGTTTACCCAAGGGATATTTCAAAGGAAACTTAACTTTCCATTTTAATTTTTTAAAAGGCTATAAAAAGGGAGTCTTCCTTTTTATAAAGAAAGTTGGTCTTCTTTTAAAACCCTACTCTGAAAAAAAAAATTAAAAAAAATTAAACCCTACGCTGCCATTTTAGTACTAATGTTAATTATATCTAAGTTTAATTTGTAGTTATTACACTGTCCAGTGTATACGAAGAAAGGAAATGGGTACTTAAAGGATTTAACATGGCAATCATAAAGGAACTTGATCTCTGTCAGGTTTAAAGACTGACAAAAGAATGTTCTTTTACTCTAAGTTAATTTTCCAGTTTAGATTGCTGGGCTAACAGTTCAAGAAAGAATATCATTAATAAAAGCCAGAAGTTGAAAGAAGTTTCAGAATAATATTTTAGTGAAAGAACAGATTAGATCGGTTTCAAATGGATATGTTTAAAAGAACACATACATGTCTAATCACAAATGGAGGTTTATCTGTTTCTTTTTTGAATTCATAGGGTCCCAGATTTAAATGGGCCAGCCGCCGCCTGGTGTCTTCAGATAGCTCACACATGCGTCTTTTTGTGTAGGGAGATGGAGAGTGTGATTTTGAAGAAATTGTAGGCTGTTCGTAGTTTTTTGCATTTATGCAATATTTATTTCTCTCAGGTGACTTGGATTTTTTCTTTTGTGATCTCGATGTTCTGCTTTGCAGTCTGCCGTGTGATTTTTCAACTGGAGCCGTATGGTAAATAAATTTATCCTAAACACAAAAAATAAAAATTAACTTGGGCAGAAGATATATGTTGAGATATATATAGATCTATCTATAAATTACAAGTAGAAAAAAACTTTAAAAATTAATCTAAGGCACATATAATCTATGAAAGCCAACTAGATTAGTCTTTTCTATCTATGCTAGACAAAGATTACTCTTTTCTATCTATGCTAGATAAAGATTACTCTTTGTCTAGTAGTTAATCAAGTATATGGTATTCTTAAGTCTAACAAGTACTTCTGAAAATAAAAGCCAAATATTAAATCATATGAAAAATCTAAGACCAAGGTCAGAAAAAATTAGTTTTCAGTGTACTAAAGAATTAATGTAAACATTGGTTTATCATTTGTAGTTAAGTATCCAAGTAATTGCCTATATAATTTAAGAAGGCTCTCTCTTTTGTTTTTAGAGAGAGTGAAGAGATTGGGGAGGGCAGAGGGAGAAAGACAGGATCTTAAGCAGACTTAACACAGAGCTCAACACGGGATTCAAAATCCCAGGACCCAGAGATCACGACCTGAGCTAAAATCAAGAGTTGGAGCTTAACCAACTGAGCCACCCATGTGGCCCAAGAGGGCTCTCTTTAGTAATGTTACAAATACACATGGCTAAGTAGTTGCTTATGAAATCATTATGGAGAAAATGATTAAAATAAGTTTCATTTATGCTGCTGTGATTACATGCACATGTACACTGTGAACATCTGAAAAACAGCTTTATACACATTTTCAAGAAATGTATTATTTGGGGATCCCTGGGTGGCGCAGCGATTTAGCGCCTGCCTTTGGCCCAGGGCGCGACCCTGGAGACCCGGGATCGAATCCCACGTTGGGCTCCTGGTGCATGGAGCCTGCTTCTCCCTCTGCCTATGTCTCTGCCTCTCTCTCTCTCTCTGTGTGACTATCATAAATAAATAAAAATTTTTTAAAAAAAGAAAGAAATGTATTATTTGGATTATACAAAGTGATTAGAATTTAAGATCTCCTCCAAACTAAAACTTTATTATTCTGTGACCAATAGTCATATCATCTTAATTCTGATTCCATATTTTTATAAAAGTAAAAAGACATAAAAGACACATATAGATTTTAATGACTAGTACTCTACCAGTATAATTGATTAGCAGTCTAAAATTTAAAAAAACAAATGTTACATTTATAAACATTTTTATATTATTAGGGTAACATTTAGTCTCTGCCTTATAAGTACCTTAAAATTTAGATTACAATTACTCTTGACTCATTATCTAAAATTACAAGGTTTCAGTATTAAAGAAAATGGGCAGTTGAGAATCTTTGTATTCCTAACTTTAATCATTTTAAAAACTACCAATCCTACCTCCCTGTTTGCTCAACCTCTCCTTCCCTACTCACTAAGGATATCTATTCTAAGTAAATAAAACATAAACGTGATATAGAAGGTAAAAGTCAAATATTTTTTGGAAGTAGATAAACAGGAAAAAATAATATTTTCCAATTGGAAAAATAAGTCCATGAAATCATACAAACCTGCAGCATCAGATTATTTCCTCATTTTTCCTCTACAGCTGCGGATGTGTTCCCAGCCCTTCTCCCACCTTGTTCAATGACTTCAACCAGTAATTCAGAAATTTTCTACCTTATCACACTTCATCCATCTCTATGACATCACACTGATGCACGGAAGCAGGAATGTTAGCTCACCTTTGAGGTTTAATACATGTTCAAAGCAGTGAAACTTTCCAGAATCTTAGACTCAGCTTTAATTACCTTTTTCTACCTCATCTTAGATTTCATCATTATGCAGATCTATTGTTTGTTTTTTTTTATGCAGATCTATTGTATCTCAACTCTGAAAATCCCTTGCTGACCAAAACTATTTTTCCTCATTCTACTTCTTTTATTCTCACTCCATCTGCTACTTACCTTCCTCACCTTCTCAGTCTCTGGAGCTCTTTTGCTCAGACATTCATACATTTTTAGTATCTCTTACCTCCAGACCCAGATGAACCCCATTATTGTCCATTTCAGCAATGCTGTAAAGTTCCTCCTCACTGATCTCTGATTATACCAAACCTAAAATAACTTCATCTTCTTCATTGGAGTTTTTGAATGTTGAATACTACTAGAATAAGTTATAAACTGTGGTATGTCAACTACAGATACATGCTAACTCTACTCAATCCTTAATGCAGCCTGATACTGCCCAGTAAAACTTAAAATAGTGGCTGTTACATGCTGTTAACATAGCATGTGACACAGACTTGAAAAGTCTTTTACTCCTTTTTGAAAACCTTCCTGCCTCCATGGGAATGAGTCAAAATTAGCCTACTTGACGATGACAGTCTTGTGGCCAGTGCTGCAGCTAAAATCAAACCAATTACCAGAAATATAAAGTCCCTCCCAAACCAAAAATTCAGCCAACTGCCAGACATGAGTGAAGCCATACTAGATCATTCAGCCCTAGCCTCACCAGTTCAAACCAAAAGAAACCCCCAACCAATCCACAGAACTGTGAGAAATGTTTTAAGCCACTTAGTATTGCTTTTTACACAGCAAAAACTACCCGATAGAGCATACAAAATAATAAAACTACTACTGATACTTAACTAATCTACCTTTACTAGATAAAAAGTAGAAAACTAGTTTTCTTTCAGAAAATCACATTAATATGCTCAATTTTTTCAATCTATCCAATTGGTAACAAAACATCAATTTGAAAATTGTGTGTCAAAAGGAATAAAGATCATTATAAGTAATTGTGAACTTAAATAATTTTATAGTTTCTCTCATTCATTCCTCTTTTAAAAATCAAAATGGTTTGTCTCATTCTTATGTTTGAATCTGAAAATGCTGCTTTACAGCCATTAAAATTTTAAATTTAACTAATACTATTAAAAAAGCAGATGTATCACATTCTCAAATAAGGTCAAATAAGATGAACATTCTGTCTGTTGACATTTAAAATTTTAATGTGTAAGTGTATACTCTGTTGTGCCAGATAATGTTTTCTATCTTGTTTTAAGTACTGTCTTCTCTCCTAATTATCTTTTAAAAAAAGAAAGCTTAGTAATAGCTGTCAAATTCATTAATTATATGCTATGTGCCAGACACATTACCTATTCTCCAATTTCATCTTTAAAGCAGAATTGTAAGGAACTTGAACCCAGATCTGTCTGATTCTGAAGTATATTTTCTTAAACACTGACACCAAAACCTATCCTATTTTCTTACATCTGCTTAATAAAGAACAAATGACAAACACTGAAATAGCAAGTTAAAAAAAAAAGAAATGAGCCTTCTCAAAAGTTTATAGGGGAAAATGTTAGTTTAAGTCCAATGACAGGGATCCCTGAGTGGCGCAGCAGTTTGGCGCCTGCCTTTGGCCCAGGGCACGATCCTGGAGACCCGGGATCGAATCCCATGTCGGGCTCCCGGTGCATGGAGTCTGCTTCTCCCTCTGCCTATGTCTCTGCCTCTCTCTCTCTGTGTGTGACTATCATAAATAAATAAAAATTAAAAATAAAAATAAAAAAATAAAAACAAAAAAAATAAAAAAAAATAAGTCCAATGACAATGGGGGGGTAATTTAACATTTAGAAAGGACTCTTCCACTGAGCTATATACTTGAGTACTTTTCTGTGCATATGCCATACTTCATACAAAAAAAAAAAAAAAGACTTTTCTACCCAATCACCAGAAGGGCATACCCCAATGAGGAGAGAAAAATGTTGTCTGAGTCCAGGTAAAATATTTTTAACAATTTATAAATATGTACAGTGCATGTCTCAAAACAAGTCAGTAATACCTTTGCATTTGGCAAGGACAGGCTATTAGATCTCTCATAGTTGCATTTCAGCTCTCATTTCAAAGATAAATAATTATAGACAAATTGGCATACTATGTATCTTGCTAAACAAAATAAGATATATAAAATATATCTTTTGATAATCCTATATAACCATGCTCTACCTTTCTTAGCTTATGTCACAGTTACCATCCTCAGCAAATTTACTGTGAAACTGAGAATGCAGTAAATTAACTCTTCACTCTTTCCATCATAGGTCCAGTCCTGTCTTGTTTGGGTCCTCTGGGCTTTATATGGATACTGGCTCTTCATTACAGACTAGTCATTGTTACCTGATCATAACTAGATATAAGTGATGACTAGACATTATTAGATAACTTGTGGACAAGGCAGTAAGATAATCCTGGTGACTCAGTAAAAAGTTAAACCAGAATGAAATATCAGGTCCAGATATCTCAGTTTACTAAAGACAGTTTTTACAAATATTGAAGGTACTTAGGTTGGAGCGTCCAAGGTTCCCTTGGTCTGACAGCATCAGTATGGCCACCAAACTGAGCAAGAGTCATTTAAGGAATTAGAGACACTCAAGAAACCACATTAATTTAACATCAATATCTCCACATGAGAATCTCTGGTCACATTTGCCAGAAGTTATCCTTTGAACTTCCTGCAGTCACCTGTAACTTCTATAAGATCTATAGAAGCCTCCAATCTAGTTCTCAGTGGGTCTTCTTGATCTCAACATCTTTCTGGAGGACAGATTTCTTTGCATTAAAAAAAAAAGGCCCATTAAGTCATAAAATAATAATACCATGGCACCATCTATCATGTGTACCAAACTCTTCACTCTCATTTTTAAGATGCAACCAAACTGCTAAATATCTTATAACTGTTTTGCTTACTAAAGATTAACCTGAAAAAGTGAAAAGAGTTGCAGCCAAAATAAAATAATAATTCTTGCCCAATGCCCATAGATATGAACAAATAAGGTAAACTATTAAAAAACTTTAAATAAATGATTTCAACCTGAGTGCGGCACTTCCTTGAACTTATCAGACATTCAGTAATCACTGAGGTTGTAGAAAATTCCAGCTTTGGAGCAATTCCCTGAGGGGAAAAAGGGTATTATTAGACATTTTGATTTTTAAAAAAATATAATTACTGTTGATAAAACTATGACCTGAAGTAACAAATATTTGTCAAGATATAGCTGCTTCATTTGTTAGTATGACTTTCTTATTAAAAATAAGACAACACAGTGATGCTAATAAATGTTAGCAAGAAGCAGTTTCATTGCTGATAATACGCTTATGATTACCTTTATGTAAAAATTAATATATTTTTTAATTTTCAAGTATTTCCCTGTCAAATTATTCTAAGATTTTTAAACTATGATATAAAATTAAGGTGATAAATATATAAAAACAGTTAATGGATCTGAGCTCTTATTAAGACATACTTAACTACATAATCAAGAAATACTTTGGATAGTCTCCTCATTCCTAAGTCCAATGACAACTGGGGGGAGGGTAATTTTATATTTAGAAAGGACTCTTCCACTGAGCTGTATAAAATTATAACTTCTAGGTATGCAGTCCTTGAAAACAGAAGAGAGGAAAGTCTCTACCAATTCCTCCACTTCCTCCAATTTCCTATAACATATAGGTTACACTCAGATCTATGAATGAACCTGGCTTCTATTTCTTGCAACATTTCAAACATCAGCTTGAACACTGTTTTGAAGTAAGTGGAGACAAATGGTAAAATTCAAAGGAACAGTCATGAAGTACCTGCCAAAATATTTGGAAGCACACAAACTGTACATTCAATGAAGCATTAAAAGATACTGTGTATGTCCAGTGCGACTTCATTTGAATATAGCAGCAGATGCTTGTCCTTTACAAACCCAGCCTTTGACCATTAGAGTTTCAAACATTACATTACAGGAAAGGTAAATATGAGTTGCCTAAGAACTAACTAAATGATTATTTTTATGCAAACATAACTTTTATTAATGATGCCCACTATGCCTACTTGTTTGTTATCTATTGCTTCACAACAGATTACTTAGCAGTTTAAAACAAGAGTAAACACCTATCTCACATAGTTTCTATGGGTCAGGAATCTGGCAGAGGCTGAACTGGGTGGTTCTGGCTTGAAATCTCTCATGAGATTGCCATTTGGGCTGCTGTCATCTGCAGTTTGCCTGGGGTTGGAGGATCTACTTCCTCAGAAGGCTCATTCACATAAATGTCGGCTGGAGGTCTCAGTTCTTGCCTGTTTTTTATCAAAAGGACTCAGCTCCTCATGCCATAAATCTCTCCATAAGACTGCTTGAGTGTCCTCATGCCATGGCAGCTAGTTCTCCCAAAACAAAGCAAGGGGGAAGCCACAATTGTTTTTATAACCTAGTCTCCTAAGCCTAGCACTGTCACACCTATCACATACTATTTAGAGTCCTGAAGTACAGCCAACACTCAACGAGAAAGGAGTTAAGACTTCCTTTTCAGCTGAGAAACATCAAAAATTTTGTGGACATATCTTAAAACCACCACAGTCCACCCTCTGACCACAAGTTAACTTACACTCCTTTCATGTGTAAACTAAATTCATACCCTACAAAACAAAAACAAAAACAAACCCAAACAAAAAACAAAGAAAGAAAGAAAAGTCTCATCCTTTTCCAACTTCAGCTTGAAATCCAAGATGTTGGCATCTAAGTCAAATCCTTATTCAGCCTTCTCAGATGTGGTTCTTTATTTTTTTTTTTAAGATTTATGTGTTTATTCATGAGAGATACAGGGAGAGGCAGAGTCATAGGCAGAGAGAGAAGCAGGCTCCCTGTGGAAAGCCTGATGTGGGACTCAATCCCAGGACCCAGGACCAAGCCCTGAGCCGAAGGCAGATGCTCAACCACTAAGCCACCCAGATGTGGTTCTTTAAGGATAGTTTCTAGAGGGATCCCTGGGTGGCGCAGCAGTTTGGCGCCTGCCTTTGGCCCAGGGCGTGATCCTGGAGATCAGGGATCGAATCCCACGTCGGGCTCCTGGTGCACAGAGCCTTCTCCCTCTGCCTATGTCTCTGCCCCTCTCTCTCTCTCTCTCTCTCTGTGTGTGTGTGTGACTATCATAAATTTAAAAAGTAAAATAAAATAAAATAAAATATTTAAAAAAAAAGGATAGTTTCTAGAATACAGTTTCTCACAGTTAGAAGACTTATGAATCAAAGAGACAAGTTATCTGTCCCATACATTCCCCAAAGTACACACATGTAGTAGGCACAGCATAATCACTATAGATATTCTTGTTCAAAAAGGGAGGAAATGGGCAGCCCGGGGGACTCAGCAGCTTGGCCCCACCTTTGGCCCAGGACGTGATCCTGCAGACTCGGGATCGAGTCCCATGTCGGGTTCCCTGCATGGAACCTGCTTCTCCCTCTGCCTGTGTCTCTGCCTCTCTCTCTGTGTCTCTCATGAATAAATAAATAAAATCTTAAAAAAAGGGGGGGGGGAGGAATTAAGTCAAAAGGGAATCACTGGCCTATAGAAATTCTAAAATCTGTCCAGGAAAATATTAGAAGTTCCTTGATTAGAAGTTTAATCAAGAAAAAAAATTTTAAAAATAAAATAAAATAAAAATAAAAATAAAAATAAAATAAAAATAAAAAAAAAGAAGTTTAATCAAGAAATAACTATCCTCTGGGCTCCTCTGGGCTCTTGCTTCCAACCTTTGAATTATCATTCCTTTCCAAGGAGAGGCAGGCCGTGTTTAGAGCTGCACAGTGTTCTGAGTGTGAGTCCTGACACCAGAATTTTGGGGGTCCAATGGCCTTTTCATTTTGTGAGGTCTCTCTGCATTTCAGACCAAGCTGGTGGTATTTCCATCAATGCAATGCTCTTAAAAAACATACTGGTTCTCATGTGAATCTTACTGAAGTTCATTCCATTAGACACAAGCTGCAGCCTTTTCCACACACAGTTTCTGCTGAGACTCCCCTGAAGGATCTTTGAAAAACCAATGTTTATTTTCTGAGGCAACGTCTTAGATCTTTCTGAGATTTTAATGAAGGATTTTATAGTTACTACCCTTGGTTTTATCATCAGAACACAATTTTTCAAAAGTGCCTGGAATGATTTTTGCTCAGAAGTCATTCCTTAATTGTAGTTTTATTTGCCATTGGGAAAAGCTGGGAATCTTCAGAAAATATAAGTTCCAACTCCTTTTTGCTAAACAGCCTTTCCTTTTGTTCCTCTCTCTCCTCTCATATTTTGCTATAAAGCAGCAAGAGAAAACCAAGCAGACCCTCTAACTTTCTATTGGAAAGTCTCAAACATACAATCCATTTCATTGGATATTTCTCTACATCCCACAAGCTTTCACAAACATTCTAGCAAAACCTTTCCAGCTTTTACCCTCTCTATAGAGGTGCTTATTAAGTGTCTTCATGCATGGCAGTTGGCTTAGCCTAAAGTGACTGATACAAGAGTGAAAGCGAGGAGGAAGCCACAATACATTTAGTGACTCCAAAGTCTAATACTGTCACTTCACCACATTTTATCTGTTAGAGTTGCTAAGTATAGTGTGGAGAATCAGCTCTGCCTTTGGAAGAGAGAAGTATCAAACCATTTGTGGACGTATTTTATAACTACCACACCCTGAACTGCAACTTATCACTTTACCCTCCCCCATATGTTGCTGGTCACATTGTAAATACTCAATGTTTTAGCCATTATTTTCACTGAGCTTTCAAAACCAAATAAGTATCAGTTGAGATTCTCCAGGAAAAAGAACTAGTAGGATAAATATATATATATATATATATATATATATATATATACATATATATATATATGTGTGTGTGTGTGTATATATATACACACATATATTTATTTATTTATGAAAAAATATATATATAGAAAGAGAGAGAGCACGCACACGAGAACGCAAGATTTATTTTAAGGATTTGGTTCATGCAATTGTTAAGAGTGGCAAGTCCAAAATCCATAGGGCAATCCACAGGCTGGCAATGTAGACAGAAGTTGATATTGCAGTCTGGAATGTGAAATTTGTAAGCATGATAGCAGGCTGAAAAATGAGGCAGTATTTCTACATTACAGTTTTGAAGCAGAATTCCTTATTGTTCAGGAAACCTCAATTTTTACTCTTCAGGCCTTCGACTAATTGGATGAGTTCAACCTACCTTGTCAATGGTAATCTCCTATACTTCAATTGAACTGTTTATAAATATTAATTACATCTACAAAATACTACCGCAGTAACATCTAGACTAGCGTTTGACCAAACAACTAGGCACCATAACCTAACCAAGTTGACACATAAAATTAATCATCACTCCATCTCAAATGTCAGTTCCTCTGTGAAGTCTAGAAGATGTAGTTTGTTCATTTAATTCCATCAAGTGGCATTTAAGTACCTACTCCATGCAAAGTACTGTGCTAAGAGTTAAATTCAAAGATGAGAAAGCCACATATTGTTTCTATAGAGTTCATAGTCTAAAGGGGATATTATCATCAGCACTGTCATGATCTCCCCAGCCATCAGCATATAATGCACATTTACTGAGTGTTCTCTCTGCCAGGTACTACTATAACCATCTACAAGGCTTCATTAATCCACCCAGTAGCCCTGTGAGATCTTCATATTATAGTGCTTTGTTCAAGTTTAGTCAGGTAGCCTATGAGAGTGCTAAGATTTAAACCCAGGTGTGACTGAATTTTTGCCAAAGCAATGGGTTCAGAAGAAGAGCCCAAGACTCGGCCAGATGTTACAAGAATTGAGGAAAAGTGCATTGTCATCTGCCAGAACAACAAACTACTAATGGGAGTGTTTTTTCCACTCACATTTAAATACAACAATTGATATGATTGGATTTATATCTGCCATTTTGCTGTTCAGTTTATAGAGGTACCATGTCTTTTGATTCTTCCATTCTTTCTAGGGCTCTCACCTGTGTATATATAGCTTTGTGGTCATCCAGTGAAACTATAAGGGTTCCACTCTGTTGATTACCTGTATATGGCTTGGAAAATATATTCAAAGATACAGTCTGGTCCGTAGTTTCCATGGAGTTTCACTTTTTGCTGGGCTTTCACAGTATCTTGTTGCTCGGCACTGTTTCAGAGTCAGCCAGGAATGGGTAGAGAGCTCATCTCTGCCCTTTTATTGATCCCTTACTTAAGTGAACTTTTTGGCAAATGGGCTACTCACTCTAATTGGAACTGCCATCGGCCTACAAAAGCTGTGGGGTTTCTTCATTCACTTACATCTGAATCCATCACATTTAGTTGGTGAAGACCTAATACCTGTCCTTATGATTCTGACACCAATTCCAGTGTGGGTTTTCCAACACCAACCAAAGCAATTCTCGTGATATTTAACTCAGTTCTGACATTATCTACCTAGTAATAGCATCAGATCCCACAGCTGCTAAAGATCAGTCCCACAAGACTGTGCCCAGCCCTCTTCAGATGCAATCACAAGTCTGGGTTGTCATCTGTGTTTCTGACCAATCAGGTATAATTTGGAGGTCCCTATGATCTCCTCCCCTGGTTCAATTAGGCTCACAGAACTCAGGAAAATAGTTGACTGTTTACTGATTTATTATAAAAGAATATGATAAAGGATACAGATGAACATCCAGAGGAAGAGATTCACGGAGCAGAGTATGTGGAAAGAGACATAGAGCAATGCCATCCCCAGGGACATCACTCTCCCAGGAGCTGCCTCCAAGAGTCCACCAACCTAAGGGCCTCTAAATACAGGCCCTTTGGGTTTTAATGGAGGTTTCATTACATAGGCACAACTGATTAAATCACTGGCCGTTGATATTTTAAAGCAATCTCCAGACTTCACCTATCCTCCCCAGATGTCCAGGGACTGAAAGTTCCAACCAACTAATCACAGAGTTGTTCCCTCTGGCAACCAGTCCTCATCCTTAGGTTATGTAGTAGGGGTTTCAAAAAGTCACTTCATTAACATAACAAGAGATGGATTTATTGCTCCCCATCACGTAGAAAATTCCAAGGATTTGGGAGCTCTGTGCCAGAACAAGGATAAAGACCATATATATACTTCTTACTTTAAATCATAGTATTTCAGTCCTACTCTCCAAAATTGATTCTGACCCCTCTGGTAGCAGAGCCTCTGATTTTTCTGTCCAGCCCCAGGACTGGTGCAGCTACAATTCTCACTGGCCTTGAAGGGTAGGGAAGTTGTCCCAGACTACAAGGTGACATACTGCCACCATTTTTATCCAAAGTTTTAGCCATTATGTAAGCATAAACACTTTTTTTTTAATTCCAGCTAGTTAACATATCGTGTTATACTAATTTCAGGTATACAGTATAGTAATTCAACACTTCCTTATAATACCCGGAGCTTAATCTGTCTTAATTGCCAGGCAGTTTCTAGTGTCCTGAAACTTGTGATGATTTTGTCCAGTTTTGTACTTGCTTTGTATGGAGGGAGGAATTGCCAACCTCTTCATATCACCATTACCAGAAGTATTTTTGCCTTAGTAATCCAACATCTGAATGTATGAAAAAGTAATCCAAAGTAAATGAAGAAGATCCCTATATTAATGGTCCACATCCATACTTTTATGTTTTTACTGCCAATTTGGCATAATATAGCATTTTAAATTACTTTCAAAACACCATAATTTTAAAATCAGTTTTCTTCATTGCAGGCTTCCGTGTATTTGCAGAAACACTCTGAAGGTTTTTATAATATAGAAGATGGCTAATGGGCACTGATAATATCCCAAAGGGAGTATATTTTCATAGATTTGCTAGTTAACTTTTACACTTCTAGCAAGCTGAAGTCACTATTTCCCAGAATACAGAATATCATAAACCTAGACCTATAGGGAAAGTATTTAATTTATCATATTGGCTCATATATCACCCCACTTTCCTTACTGAGACTACTTTAACATTTTATAAAAGTAGTAAAAAAAAATGTCCAAATTATTTCAACCTAGACATCTTTTGCTTTTTTTTGCCTTTGAAATGGCAGAGTCTTCTCCACTTTCTCTAAGTGGAAGACATTTTCAGGGTTAAGTACATTTTTAAATCACCTATCAAAAGTTGAAGGGAGTGGGGGAAAGGATGGAAGAGTTGGCTTTCACAATGTAGCATTCATTTTTAGGTAAATGAACGTATTTCTATGACATGAACATACAACAATGAATCTATCCAAACTCCTACTAATGAACATTTAAATTATTCTGGTTTTTTACTATTATGAACAATGCTAGTGAACATCCCTAGGAAGACTCTTAGTATACCAGAGAGAATATATCTCCACGATATATACCTAGAAGGCAACAGGTTACAAGAATCTGCCTTTACTAGATAATTCTGATTTGTGGCGAGGTTCCAATTTACATGTAAATTTACACTTCCTTATAATAGCATGTAAGAGCTTCCATTTTTCACATTTCTCATATGGTCAGATTTTATTAAATTTTACCAATTGTATGGCTATAAAAATGAAATCATAAGGTGGTTTTAATTTTGGATTTCCCGGGCAGCCCCGGTGGTGCAGCGGTTTAGCACTGCCTGCAGCCCGGGGTGTGATCCTGGAGACCGGGGATCAAGTCCCACGTCGGGCTCCCTGCCTGTGTCTCTGCCTCTCTTTCGCTCTCTCTGAATAAATAAATAAATAAATCTTTAAAAAATAATAATAATAATTTTGGATTTCCCTATATGCTAATGAGACAGAGAGCACTGTTTCAAATGTTAATTGGTCATTCTTTTGAGAGAAAATAAAGAAAAGAGGAAAGGCAGGAAAGGAGGTGGGAAGCAGAAGGAGAGGAGAAAAACCTAAGGATATAAAGCAAATTAACGTTTGTTAATTCTGGATGAAAGATGCATGGATTTCATTCCAATTTCGGTATGCTTAAAGTCACAACATAATTTCATAAAACGAATTACATTTTGAACCATGTTAAACTTTGAATTAGTTCTTCACATTTCATATTAAAGACTATGTGGTGGTTTTTGACAATGATCCCACAACACAAATTGATTCAGAAAATAGTAAACACTTACTCGAAGGCCAGAAATCCTCCTCATGGTAACCTGGCGGTTTGAATCATGGTGTCCAGAAATTTGGTTTGGACCCGGGAACATGAAATCTCGTGTATTTTCATCATATGTAGACAGTGTTTCACCCACTACAAGAAAGATATCCTATGATTCAAATTATAACAAAATATTCTATTTAGAAACAAAATCATCAAGTATAATATTTATAGTGCCTGATGCCTTGCTGAAAACTTCTGCTTCAGGGTCATGTTAATTTTTTTTTCTAAGAAAGGAAAATTAAAAGAAAGTTATGTTAAATGGATTCCTTATTCAGAAATGTAGTACATATTACTTATTCTCCCTCTTTTATAGAAGGGAAATATTCATGTAAATTTTGTGAGTACCTATGCATACTCATGAAAAAAGTCCTTAAACATTAAGTTGGTATTGACATTTACAAACCTAAAATGTAATTATCATCTCCATAAATTTTTTCTATCTTCCATTCTTTTCTAATCACCATTATAAGACATTAGGTTACAGGTTGGTAAAAATGTAGACATTTTCTAGATTTTGTGGTTACTCAAATTAGGTATATGTGTAATATTCAAAATCTTTTAGGTTATTAATTTTCAGCAACATACAGCTCTCCGTTCTATCTCCACCAAATAATTATTTGATTAAGATAGATTTCTCCTATAATTGCAGAGGTAAACAACAAAAATCAAGCTATCCTCCATATTTTAATTTTAACTTTCCCTGCACCAGAGATTTGTAATGTTTACTGAACAGGTAAGGTTTTATTCCACTCCCCCATTCCCAGTAATAGTCAACACACAAAAACAAAGACAATTACTTTATCCATAAAAAAATATAGTTTGAGAAAAATCACAGAGTCAACTTTTATGAATGTCACAAAATATGTAAGGAGGATAGCAGGTAATTTTCTACTTTCCATTCCTATTTATTCTATTTTAACACAAATGTTCAAATACTATTTATGTCCATCTTTATGTATTTATTATTTTCATCTATTGACGTCTTACACATAGTGGACCAATACTAGAAACTCAACATTGTTCTTAATTTGGGAAGGGGAAAATATGTATTTTTTAAAAACATTCTTTGAAATGGGTTTGCACATCAATTACTTTATCAAGCTATAATACAGTACCTGGTGGAACTAGTTGAATCAACTCAAACAATGCTGTATCATCTGAAAGTTTAAAGAAAAATTTCCTTAAGCAAATTGATAATAAAAATTAGTTACTTCATCATAAAAGTATCTAAAAGTCAAAGTAATTGCTGGGTAAACTACATATACATTTTTTTTTTGCCATTTACATATACGTTTGTATCTTAATATACTGTGTATACTTTTTGGTTGCTATGTCTCTTAGGGCATTATTAATCAATAGCAGAGATTGTACCTTCAATCTCTCTGGAGTTTGTTTATGTTTTTGTTTTTTTTTAAAGAAAAACTTTATCATTTTAGAGAAGTTTTAGGTTTATAACAAAACTGATAAGAAAATACAAAGATTTCCCATATATCCTTATCCCCACACATGCATAGCCTCCCCACTATCAACAGCAATCACAAGAATGGCACTTTTTTTTTTTTTTTACCAAGGATGAACCCCCATAGTCACATCCTAATCAACCGACATCCCTAGTTTACCTTGGGGTTCACTTTTGGTGATGTATGCTCTGTGGATATGGACAAATAAATGCATAATGACATATTCCATCACCATAGTATCATTCATAGTGTTTTCACTTCCCTGATTTTCCTCTATGCTCTTCCTATTCATCTCTCTCCTCCACTTCAATTTGCTTCCATAAGCAACCACTGATCTTTTTACCGTCTCCATAGCTTTGCATTTTCCAGAATGTCATATTAGAATCAGACACTATTCAGGTTTTTCACATTGGCTTCTTTCACTTTGTAACACGCACTTAAGTGTCCTTCGTGTTGTTCATGGCCTGATAGCTCATTTCTTGTAACTGCTGAATACTATTCACTGTCTGGATTCATTCACTTTATTTATCCATTCGCCTACTATAGGCATATTGGTTGCTTCCAAGTTTTGGTAGTTATAAAGCTGCTATAAACAACCCTGTGCAGGTTTTTATGTGAACATAAGCTTTCCACTTCTTTGGGTAAATACCAAGAAGGGTAATTGCTGGATTATATGTTAAGAATATGTTTAGTTTTGTAATAAACTGCCAGACTGTCTTCTAAATTGCTGTTCCATTATGCATTCCCATTAGCAATATATAAGAAGAGCTCTTGTTGCTCAATATCCTCACCAACATTTGCAGCTGTCAGTGTTTTGGATTTTGGCCCTTCTAGGAGTGTGGTGGCATCTTATTTTAACTTGAATTTCCCCAAAGACATACTGTGTGGAGAATCTTTTCATATGCTTTTTGCCATCTTTATAAGTTCTTTTGATGAATATCTGTTAAGGTCTTTGGCCCATTTTAAAAATAATGTTGTTTGTTATTTTATTATTGAATTTAAAAGTACTTTGTATATTTTGGATAAATATCCTTTATCAATATTTTATAGATATTTTCTCCCAATATGTGGTTTATCTTCTAATTCTCTTGATACTGTCTTTCACAGAGTAGAAAATCTTAATTTAAATGAAGTTCAGGGGATCCCTGGGTGGCACAGCGGTTTAGTGCCTGCCTTTGGCCCAGGGCGCAATCCTGGAGACCCGGGATCGAATCCCACGTCGGGCTCCCGGTGCATGGAGCCTGCTTCTCCCTCTGCCTATGTCTCTGCCTCTCTCTCTCTCTCTGTGACTATCATAAGTAAATAAATAAATAAATAAATAAAAAATAAATGAAGTTCAGTTTAGCATTTACTTCTTTCATGGATGATGCCTTTGAGGTCGCATCTAAAAAGGTATCATTGGGCAGCCCGGGTGGCTCAGCGGTTTAGCATCGCCTTTGGCCCAGGGCATGATCCTGGAGACCCAGGATTGGGATCGAGTCCCAGGTCAGGCTCCCTGCATGAGCTGCTTCTCCCTCTGCCTGTGTCTCTGCCTCTCTCTCTCTCTCTGTATTCTGAGTAAATAAATAAAATCTTAAAAATATACATAAAAATAAAAAGGTATCATTGTACTCAGTGTCATCTATGTTTCTTCTTATTTTATTTCCAGTTTTATGGTTTGGAAATAAAAGTTATGGCACAGTTATGCCTATGATCCATTTTGAGTTAATTTTTTGAAGGGTGTATGGTCTGTATCTAGATTCATTTTTTTTTTCACATTTGGATGTCTAAATTTTCTGGCACCGTTTTTTTGAAAAAACTCTAACTTTGTTCCACTGTATTGCCTTGCTCCTTTGTCGAAGTCAGTTGATTTTATTTATGAGAGTCTATTTCTGGGCTCTTTGTATATCTTTATAAATATAAATTATGTCTTATTTCTTAAGCAGAGCTGTGAGGACAGCTGGGATATCATAAAACTCCTATACTTTTAATATGTTTGAAATATTTTATAATAATTCAATAATACACTTACAAAAATAATAAAAGATGAAATGCATCTTGTTTCCCCTTCTAGGACTCATGAAAAAGGCACAATCATTTAAACCAATATCTGTATGTCTAATATATGAAGAAATATTTAGTATTTCCTATAGATTATAATTTATAATAAGAAAAAAAATGCTATAGCCCTTTTCCTCAATAACTGTACACTCCATTGAGAATATAGACATCACAGGAAATAAACACACAAATAAATTATAACTACAAACTACAGGTGCAATGAAGGCACAGCAGGTAGTGCTATAAAAAAACTATATTAACAAGACCTAATCTAGGCAGGGAGTTAGAGAAGCCTAAGGAAGAGCTCTTTAGGATCTGATCTATAGCTGGGGCAGTAGAGTTTTTTTTTTTCAAGCAGGAGGAATGGGATGTACAAAGGCCCTAAATAGAACACAGCAAAGTAATCTGAGAGATTAGGTGTTTGAAAACAACCGCTCTGCAAAAATCAACTTGAAAAGGTAAACAATGAAAGCAGGAGAGACATAACAAAGTAGTAAAAAAAATTATAAGTCTGAAACTCAGTATAAGAAGGAAATACAGAGAAAAAGCCTGGCATTTGAGGCTGCTTTTCTTTTTGGAATCTGACAGTCTTGAAAGAGGTAGCCTAAGGGACTAAGAAGCTGAACAGAGCTTTTGATAAATTCCTGAAATAAAGGACCAAAAATTGGAGTATCATGGCCTTGGAGAGAGATAGGAGGGGACGTCTGCTGGTTAAGAGACAATGGCCTGATAAACTGGCTAGGCTATAAGACTGGATCTTGAAAAGATAAACTATAAAAGAGTAAAGTAAAAATGGATAGCCAATACTATATAATGAATGTTTGAATTCCTTCCAAAATTCATATGTTGAAATCCTAACGCCCAATGTAATATTTGGAGTTGGGGCCTTTGGGAGGGAAGTAGGGCAAACCCCTCAGAATGAGATTAGTACCATTATAAAAGAGACGCCGGAAGAGCTTCCTTGCTCCTGTCATAAGAGGACATTGACAGAGATGACAGACATTGACAGATCTATGAACAGAAAGGGAACCCTCACCAAAACACTAAATCTGCTCACCTTGATCTGAGACTTCTCAGCCTCCAGAACTGTAAGAAATAAACTTTTATAGTTTGTAAGCCACTTAGTCTATGGTATTTTGTTATAGCAACCCAAATGAACTAAAACAGCCAACTAGGAACTAAGGGCTAAGTTTGAATCATTCCAAATACTGTCTGAATTAAGGTGATCCTGAATTGCTGGTACCCCCTAGAAATCTGCTAAAACAATCACAAACTTTTTCTAAAAGAAAATATCATCATCTGAGTTTTCAAGTTATTTCAAAAAGTTTTACATTGAAAGTCTGACAATCAATGAAAACTGACCAAGTACACATGAAAAATGAAAACTGAGGGAAAAAAAATAAGAAAAATAAGACAATAAAAACAGGGAAACAGGAGATCCAGAAAACTTAGTTATCAGACTGGGACTTAAAATATGCCTAACAGAGAAAAAAAAATATGCCTAACAGGTTCAACAAAATAAAATGCAAAGTTGAGAATGTTAGAACGAGAAACTATTATAAAGAACCAAAGGGAAAATTTTTAACTGAAAAGTAAAATAGCAACAACAACAAAAAAACTCATAACAGGTAGATTTATCAGCAGATTATAAATGACTCTGGAGAGATCTATGGAATTAGAAGACAAAAGTAAACATTTTGAGAAAAGCACAGAAAGCCAAAAGGATAGAGAACATAAAAAAGAGGAAAAAATGATACAGGAAAAGGTACACTAACAATGTGTAATTGGATTTGCAAAAGGAAAGAACAGAAAAGGACAAAAGCAATTATTTAAAAGATTAATGCCTGAGAATTTTTTTGAAGAAGATGATCAAGATACAAACATCAAGCAGAATATATTTTAAAATATACACACACATACATATATACAGAGTTGGGCACATCCAAGTAAATCTACAGGGAAAAAAAGCGTAAGAGAAGATGTTAAAAGAAGCCAGTGGAAAATGATAGACTACCTTTAATGAAATAAAAGAATGAAATTGATAGAGGATTTCTCAACAGAAAGTGAGGAAATAAGAAGACAACAGGATAGCATAATCCCAATAGGATATAGAAAGCAATAACCCCAAGTTCAGCAAAAAAAATCCTTCAAAAATTAAGACAAAATAAGGACATTTTCAAATAAATAAAAAATCAAGATAATTTATTGCCAAAAGACCACTGAGAAAGGAACTGTGAAAGAAATTTCTTCAGAAAAAAGCAATAAACTGAGAAAGAAGCTCAAAAATGAAAGGAAATAAAGAACAACCAAAAAGGTAAAATCTGGTTGTAAAGTGAAATGATGATGCTGATAGAAGAACAGTAAAATTTTGTGTAGTTTAGCAGCATACTAACTTAAAACACAGGACAAAAAAAAAACATAAAATATGGAAGGGATATAAATGAAGTCAAGTATTTGTAAGCTTCTCCACGTCCTAAAAAAGGTAAAAATAAAAATACATCTATTAGAGTTCAGTAAGTGAAGCCTGCCTTCTGTCATGACTCTGGTAACCACTAAAAAAACCAAAACGGCAAAGAGCATGCACCTCCAGGTTAATTAAGGAGTAGAAATGAAAGAGCAAAAAATAGAAGAAAAAAGAACACTAATATTCAACAATC